TCAAAGAATGTGCAAAGTACACTCCTAAAACTTTAATTAAAAATATTGATTTAATGAACATTTACTGAACTGCTACTATGTGTCATTTATCACTGAGAGAAGTACTCAAAACATAAAAAGATTATGACTATGAAATTTTCTTTTTAAAAAGAGACACTACAAAGCACCTTAAGTGTATCTAACTATTATGAATAATTTTAGACATTAAAACCTTAGAAACATTTTAGTATATATTAGAAGTCACACTTATATTCTCTGGAAGTCAAATGACTGGCTCAAACGGTATCTTCTCTTTAAATGTTTGTTGTTGTTGTTAGGTGCTGGCGAGTCGGTTCTGACTCATAGCAACCCTATGCAAAACAGAACGAAACACTGCCTGGTCCTGCACCATCCATTTAAATGTTTAAGTTAATGGAAACCAGGAATGAGAAAATATTCTTTTTCACCAGAAGAAAATAAAGTATTGAATTGTGCCACAAAAGCAAAAAATATAAGTCGTATTACTGCTTCATATTGCTAACACTTACATTCAAAGGGAGCTCTGGTGGCGCAGTGGTTAAGAGCTTGGCTGCTAACCAAAAGGTGAGCAGTATGAATCCACCCGCCACACCCTGGAAACCCTATGGGGCAGTTCTACTCTGTCCTACAGGGTCGCTATCAGTCTGAATCATCTTGATGGCAACAGGTTTGGTTTGGTTTTCCATTCAAAGATAGAATATCAAAAGATATTTAATTCTACTTCATAGTCTTTCGTAACACATTTTTTAATTAAAATGCAAAAATAAATTATAAATTATCTTCATCAGAGATCCCATGTGTCTTTTTTTTTTTTTTTTATGGTGAATTTTGTAGTGGGAGGTTTTTTAATGATAGCATGATGGGACTGCCTTCTAAAATCTTTTTTTTTTTTTCAGTTAATATTTTAAAAAATATTTCCCTGTGTTTAGGGTGAATTTTGTAGTGGGAGGTTTTTTAATGATAGCATGATGGTACTGCCTTCTAAAATCTTTTTTTTTTTTTCAGTTAATAGTTTAAAAAATATTTCCCTGTGTTTTAGGTGAAAGTTTACACAGCAAACTAGCTTCCCATTTAACAATTTTTATACAAATTTTTCCATGACATTGGTTATAATTTTCACAATGTGTCAGCATTCTCATTATTTCCATTCTGTTTGCTCTGTTTCCATTCATCTAGCTTCCCTTCCCCTCCTTGCCTTCTCATCTTTGCTTTTGGGTAAATGTTGACCATTTGGTCTCATATAGTTGATTGTTTAAGGGAGTACATTACTCATGGGTGGTACTGTTTATCTTATAAGCCAGTACCACCAGAAATAGCTCAGTTCCAAGTTCAAAGGGTATCTTAGGGCAATAGTCTCAGGGTTCCTCTAGTCTCTTATTGGTCTACTAGGTCTGCCCTTTTATAGGCCTTTCATAGTTCTGTATTTTTCTCCCATTCTATCTAGGACCTTCTATTGTGTCCCTGATCACAATAGTCGGTAGTGCTGGCTGAGCACCATCTAATTACTGGTCTCAGGTTAGAAAAGGCCATGGTTAGTGTGGGTTATTAATCCTGTGGATTACTTTCCTCTTTGAGTCTTTGGTTTCCTTCATTCTTTTTTGCTCTAGATGAGTAGAGACAATATTTGTATCTTAGATGGCCACTTGCAAGTTTTTAACACTCCACATGCTACTTACCAAACTTGGATGTAGAATGTTATCTTTATGAACTATGTTATGTCAATTGAC